AGTTTTTCTTAATTCCAAACAGAAAGTGTATACCTTAGACTATATGGACAAAAAGACAGACAGACAGACAGACAGACAGACAGACAGACAGACAAAGACAGAGAGAGAATTATTCAACCTGCCTGTTTGCAACAACATGGCTGAACCTGGAGGACTTTATTGCAAGTGAAATAAGCCAGACACAGAAGGGCATACTATATGACAGCACTTATATGAAAAATTTTAAATAGTTCAACCCACGAAGTTGAGTACAGAAGGGTGGTTGCCAGGGGGTAGCAGCATGGTGTTGGTCAAAGGGTACAAAGTTTCAGTTATGAAGGATGAACAAGTACCAGAGACCTACTGGGTAGAAAATTGCCTGTAGTTAACAAACCATTGGATACTGACAATTTTGCTATCAGGGTAGATCTCACATTTATTGTTATCACAAATAAAAAGAGCAGCAGGAAACTTTTGGAAATTATGTCTATGTTTATGGCAGCAGTTGATGGTCTCACAGGTATACATTTATCTTCAAACTCATTAAAATGCATGCATTAATTTTATACGTCAATCATACCTGCATAAACTTTTTTAGCAAAAAGAAATTCATTAAAAAAATTCATTGAACAATAAATCCCATTCCTCCTGCCCTCCAGTTTCTGGTAAGCTCTATTATCCAGTCTTTCTCTATAAATTTACCAGTTCTGGATGCTTTAGACAAATGGAATCTTACAGTATTTGTCCTTTTGTCTGGCTTACTTCATTTGGCACAACGCCCTCAAGTTCATCCATTCCGTAGCATGTAGCAGAATTGCATTTCCTTTTAGGGCTCCATAAGGCTGCCATTGCATGATGTTTGGCTTCACTTTTTGTATGTCATTGTCTCAGCTACAGAAATTCTAGCTAGTATCTGAATGTTGGTATCCAAAACTCACATGTTGAAACCTAATACCCACCGTGATATTATGAAGTGGACCTTTAAGGAGTTGACTAGGCCACTAAGGAGGAACCCTTACGAATGATATTAGTGCCATTATAAAAGAAGCTTGAGGGAGGCAGTGCCCCTTCTTCCTGTGTCCTTATACCCCAAGAAGATGCCATCTTTGAAGTAGAGAATAAACTCTTACCAGACACCAAATCAGCTGGCACTTTCATCTTGCCAGCTTTCAGAAGTGTGAACATAAATTTTGGCTGTTTATAAATTACCCAACTTAAAGCCTGGGTTTGGTAGGGCACACCTGTAATCCCTGCACTCAGGGGGGCTAGGGAGGACTGTTGTGAGCTGGAGGTCATCTTAGGCTACAAAGTGTGTTCAGAATGAGCTTGAACTACATAGCTTGACCCTGTCTCATAAAGATAAAAAATAAGTAACCAAGTTTAAGGCATTTCATTAAAATAGTATGGATGGACTGAGAGATAATATGAGATAAATATGGAAAAAAAATAAGTTTTCACCAATTTGAAATTCTAATTTTTACCCTGTATCCCAATATCTAGCATTCTCTATGGGAGAAAATGCCCATAAGTGGGTAAAAAATTTTCTTGAGGTACAAGAAAATTTATATATAAAGCACAGCTACACCTAACAGATGTACTGTATGTATATGTCATCTACCCCTTTTTAAAACTGTTAAATTTATAAATTTATTTCTCTTTGCTTTCTTAGTTGGATATTTGGTTTTATATTTTTACTGAATAATACAAGCATTGGAAGATACTCAGTTTCCATCTGGCATGGTGGTGTACATCTATTATCCCAGCACTGAAGCAGGAATATCATTACAAGTTCAAAACCAGTCTGGGGTACATGGTGAGTTCAAGAGCAACCTGGAATACATAGGAAGACCCTGTTTCAAAAACAAAGTGAGAGGAAGGCTGACTGTGGATGTAGCTTGGGGAGAAGGCCTCTCCTGTACTGGGGGGAGGGGGCTGCATTTCCTATGAGAACATCAGCTACATCCCACAATAGCTTTTCAGAGTGACTGCTGGGTAGCAGGTACTAAGCTAAGTGCTTAATAAATCTTGTGTAATCTTCACTTCAAGCTTATAAGGTAGATATTGGTTTGCATTTGGGGAGTAAACCCTGTGCATAATACACAAGTGCTCTATCACAGTGCTACATCCTCTGCCTTTTTTTTTTTTTTTTTTTCCACAGGGTCTCATCTGGTAAATTATCCAGGGAACTGCAACTTTGGATTGTCTTCCCTCAGCCTCCCGAGTACCTGGGATTCCAGGCATTTATCCACAAGCCTAGCCCACAGCAGTTAATGTCATCATTACAATTTTACGTATGAGAAATCTGAAACCCAGAAAGTTAGAAAACTGACCCAACATCACAGTTAATAAAAATTATTATTATTGTACTAAATTATTATACATTGCACTAAAATTCTGATACTGGAATCAGTGTAACTCCAATGATAAAATAGGTGCTGATTTTTTATATAGTTTTAGTTGTCTCCCATGCTCCTCAAATAACTTATGATAGCTGCTACAGTTTTTGTTTTGTTTGTGGAACCAGGGATTGAACTAGCTGCTACAGTTATTAGTATTTTTAGTTTCAAGAGATTAGACTCTGTGATTAACTTTCTGATAATTTCAAACTTCATAGATTATAGCTAAGTACTTACAAATTTTACTTTCTGGAGACCAAAAATCTGACATGGAACACAGTGTAAAAGACTAGACAGCTTTTGCTTGAAGTCAACCTTGTCACATTCTCACTGGTCTTTTTACTTTTTGGCTGTTATCATGACTCTTCCATAGGCCAAAAGCAGTGTCAAAATCTTCCATCTCAATTTACAATGTTTTTTTGTTTTTTGCAGTACTGGGAATTGAACTCAGGACCCTGTACTTGCCAGGCAAGTGCTTATTCTACTGAGCTATCTCCCCTACCCTCACGTATGGCAGAGGTTATGCTCCAGACACCCCACCGTAAGTGAAAATCAGCGAAGTAGCAACATTTATTTTAGTATTTATATATGTCTTAAGGCTTTAAAAACCCTTCCCACACTCTTATAAACCTTTTCCTCTTTTAAAAACTGTGCACTGTTTTTTAAACTCGTAAACCTAATTTTAACAACATACGTATACTATACAGTACTGTAAAATCCTGCGGCATAGCAAAAAATCCGTGATAATTTAGATTAACTTTTTTTGAAATTCGAGAGAGTCCACAAAATAGTGAGGAATTACTGTATTTTAGTTCTGAGTGGTGTGAACTCTACTCTATAACCAATCGGTCTCTGTGGTTTCCTCTTTTTGCCTTGAGGGCCCTTTCATTGGCCTTAAATTACAGCTAAAATTTATTGAACATTTACTGGGTCCCCTCCTCTGTATTAACAATTTCCTTTGTATTATTTTATCTAATTATCAAAACAATTCCAGAGATATCCAGAGGAATTTTTTTTTCCAGTACCAGGGATCAAACTCAGGATCCTGTGCTTGCCAGGCAGGTGCTTAAGCCACTGAGCTATCTCCCTGGCCCTACAATTCCAGATATAGAAAGGTGTGGATCCAGATGTTCTAGGGATTGAAACTTTTACAGGGCCTTCTTAGAAAAACATATAATTATAAACACAAAATTAAGCACGATGATCAATGTTAATTGGGAAATGAGTGGAATAACTGCTTGCCTGGCAAGTGCGAGTTTGATCCCTGGAACCACCAAAAAAAAAGGAGA